ATACCCTGCCACAGAGGCAGGATGGGACGGGGGGAGTGGGGGGGATGCTGGGACCCGTGGTGATGGATGACGGGCACTGGTGGAGGGATGGGCACTTGATCATTGTATAACTGAAACCCAAGCACAAAATTTGTAAGCCTATAACTGTACCTCATGGTGTTTCACTAATAAAAAAGAAAAAAAATAAAGCACAGAAGTGTTGTTAAGGGATTTAACAGTACACACCAAAACAAAACTGGCAACCAACAAATAATAGAGGGATGCTGGAGGTAAGGACTGTTGGACTGGAGGTAACATAGTAATGGTGGGGTCATGGCCACCTCAGTGGTGGGTGTGTGAGTACTTTGTGCATCAACACCAGAAATTTGAACACTATTGTAAGCCCAAATTATAATAAAATTTTAAAATAAAATGTATATGGTGCTGGGCTGGAATGATAGCACAGCAGGAAGGGCATTTTCCTTGCATAAGGCTAACCCAGGCTGACCCCAGTTTGATTCCTCCGCCCCTCTTGAAAAGCCTGGCAAGCTACTGAGAGTATCATGCCCACACGGCGGAGCCTGGCAAGCTACCTGTGACGGATTCAATATGCCAAAAACAGTAACAACAAGTCTCACAATAGATGTTACTGGTGCCCACTTGAGCAAATCGATGAACAATGCGAGGACAGTGACAGTGACAGTATATGGTGCTATATTTTCCCCCAAACAATAATAAAACATAAATGAAAAGACAAAGAATTCAGTGCAGGGCTGGTAATGTGGCTCACATGTTACAGCACATGCCTGGCATGTGTGAAATCCTGGGATCAATTCCTGATACCACTTGAACTCCCAATACCAACGGATTACTGTTGTAATCCTCATAACAACAGTAATCATAATAGCCAAAGAATTCAATATTTGGAGGATTTGCGTATCTGTTTTTAATATGTACTCTAAATCGATAGTATTGAGTCCAATGTGATACTGATGTAGATGTAGAAAATTAGAGCTCTCAGGGAACAGAGAGAAAGGACAGCAGGTAAAACACTTATTTTGCGTGTTGCTGAATCTGGTTAGATCAAAGGCACCATTTTTGGTTCCTGAGCCCCTCCAGGAGATCCCTGAACACAGAACCAGGAGTAAGCCCTGTGCACAGCTGGGTGTGGCTCAAAAATGAAAATAAAAATAGGAAAAAAGAAAGAAATAGATTCGCACATACACAATCAGTTAATATTTAATCAAGATGTCAAGGCAACGGAATGGGGAAAGGCAAATTGTTTTAACAAAGGGTTCTGGGATAACTGGATATTTATATGAAAATATAAATAAACCTCAGTCCCTTTATGTCTCTGTATACACAAAAATTAATTTGAGTTTAATCATAGAACTAATAAAAACTAGAATCATAAAGATTCTAAAATCAAACCCAGGGCAATATCTTAATGACTTCGAATAGTTAACAATTTATTCCTTATATGGGGCAGAAACTCACCAAACACTAAAATAAGTCAGACATATCAAAGAAACATAGTGCATAATGAACTGATCAATTTACAAATTTAAATTTTATGCCTTTAGAATAAGATACAAATCTAAGATAGCAAGATTTAAAACAGTTTGAAAAGTCAAATAATTGTAATGCATCACATTTCCTACCAAGTTAACTGATTTCAGCTTATGCATTGAAAAGTAAATGGAAAAAAATGAATATGGTCAGCCAAGTAGCGCTGTATCATTGTCCTTCAGTTGTTCATCAATTTGCTCAAGCAGGCACCATTGTGAGACTTGTTGTTACTGTTTTTGATATATCGAATATGCCACGGGGAGCTTGTGGGCGGGATACTCTTGGTAGCTTGCCGGGTTCTCCGAGAGGGACAGAAGAATCGAACCCGGGTCGGCCACGTGCAAGGCAAACACCCTACCCGCTGTGCTATCGCTCCAGCCCATCAATCAAGTATCACTGTCACTGTATCACTGTCATCCCGTTGTTCGTCAATTTACTTGAGCAGGCACCAATAACATCTCTATTCGTCCCAGCCCTGAGATTTTGGCAGCCTCTTCTTACTTGTTTTTCCCAATGATTTGAGGCTCTTTCAGGGTCAGGGGAATGAGGCCATTATAGTTACTGGTTTTGGCATATCATATGAGTATTCTTGGTCGCTTGCTGGGGACTCAGATATATATATATATATATATATATATATATATATATATATATATATATTTCTCTTTATGATCTGTTGCCTACTGTCTGAACTCCATCAAACATAGAACATGGTGTGGTAATTATGGACAATGGGTAGGAAGTGTCCCATGGTGTGTCTGGAAAGTGGCCTGGAGCATATTGGCGGTTGGGTAGTGGAGGCTGGCTGCCGGGGCTGGGTCCCTTGGGTGGTGAGGGCTCTCGTCTGCCCCCTCTGGGGCGCCCTGAGTGGAAACAGTCTGGCGCGAAGTACTTTAGCTTATTTAAATGGTTAATGAAAGAGTGGCACAAGTCTCTTAAAATGTGTACTCAGCCACCTGCTTAACACAAAAAATTTATAAATCATTTTTGAGGGCCTTATACTGTGGTATTAAGTGCTCCCAGAACTATACTCAGTGGTGTACAGGAAGACATGCAGTGTCAGGGATCAAATGCACTCCAGTCTTTGACTGCTCTCCTCAGCCCTTATAAATGATTTTTATGAATCCATGAAAACATCCAGTAAAGCCATGGACCAACAATGCTATGTATAGACCGTGCATACACTAGAAAGTAATGGCCTTTCTTGTGCATAGGCCAAGATTCAGCTGTGAAAGCACCATGTACATTGATATAGCTGCTCTGCAATATTGACATTTGCATTCAGCATTAGGGAGGTACAGACTAGATTTTTCATAACTTTTGTTGTCATCATTTTAAGCAGAGAGCCAGATGTACTTAATTTAGGACAAATTTAATTACATTAAATTCTAGCTAACTGTAATGCAGGACATGTACAATTACATATTTGATTAGTTTTAATTTGAAATGGTTCCATTACTATAACTAATCACAGCAGATCTAGGGCATATTACCATCCTTTGAAAAGTGCATTGCAAAACAGCCACCTCCAAAAAATTGTGCCAATTGCTTCTTTTAGGCAGTAAAGGGCTGATTCTACATTTGTCAACTTTTATATGGGGGAAAAAATCACATTATTTCTTTCTGGTAATTTTTATTCTTTATCAGCAATACACATTTAAAATAGCCTTTTATTTTTTGCTGCACCATTGGGAGAGTTGAAATGTAATGTTATCTATATGCACACAATATAAATCATATAGTATTTAAGAAATCTGCTGTAAGAGGCATAAATTGTTCATTTTAGTTTGCTTCCATTGAAGTCATGCCAGTTGTAAAATAGATGCTTTTAATGAAGAATTATGTAATGACTTTCATATTAAAATAAACAGTCAAAGGACTTTATCATGGAATTGATGATGGATGGACCTTTTTTCAGTTTTGGGGTCACCCCTGGCGATGCTCAGTGGTTACTCTTGGCTCTGTGCCCAGGAATTGCCCTGGCAGTGCTTGAGACCCTATATGGGATGCTAAGGATCAAACTCGGTCGGTTGCATGCAAGGCAAGTGCACAACCTGCTGTACACAACCTCCAGTTCCTAGATAGACCTTTTGAACTCTCATATTCAGTGTCAAAAATCTTAGCATGCATAACATTCTATAAGCACATTTTTTTCTTTTTTTTTAATAGTGAAACACCATGAGGTACAGTTATAGACTTACAGATTTTTGTGTTTGGGTTTCAGTTATACAATGATCAAGTACCCATCCCTCCACCAGCGCCCATCCTCCACCACCACGGGTCCCAGCATCACCCTTGAATAGAATCTGTTATCTTTTGGTATTATAGTTTAGCGTAACATGACTGTGATTTATAGTTGTCTTTTCCTTTTCTATAGAATTCTTTTGGGTGCAACACCCAGCTGTGCTCAGGTTTTACTCCTGACTCAAGCTCAGAGATGACTCCTAATGGACTCAGGCTTTGGGGGATCAAACCCTGCTTGTTCATATGCAAGGCAAACACCTTGCCACCTTCATTATTGCTCTGGCCCCACACATTTTTTCCCTAAAAAGTCACTTGGGGAAGAATGGGCGAGATTAGTACCAGGAATTGTGCTCCATGTCTTGGAGGCAGCTCAGATAGAGAAGGGAGCACCAAATAAAGGGTGTTGGGAGGATCCTCCCAGGATGGTAGAAGCATGCTGAAAGTAGACTATAGACCAAACATGATTGCCACTCAATGCCTCTTTTGCAAACCACAACACCCAAAAGGAGAGAGAGAACAGAGGGGAATGCCCTGCCACAGAGGCCGGGTGGAATGGGGGATGGAGGTGGGAGGGATACTGGAATCATTGGTGGTGGAGAATGGGCACTGGTGGAGGGACAGGTATTTGATCATTGTATAATTGAAACCCAAGCACAAAATTTGTAAGTCTACAACTGTACCTCATGGTGTCTCACTATTAAGTAAGTAAGTAAAGGCCCTCCTGTTGATCATCGATTTGCTCGAGTGGGCCCAGTAACGTCTCCATTGGAGACTTTGTTGTTACTGTGTCTGGCATATCGAATACATCATGGGGAGCTTGCCAGGCCCTGCCGTGCGGGCGAGATACTCTCGGTAGCTTGCCGGGCTCTCCGAGAGGGGTGGAGGAATCGAACTCGGGTCGGCCATGTTGGCTGCGGGCAAGGCAAACGCCCTACTGCTGTGCTATCGCTCCAGCGGGGCCTCTACTGACTTGTCTCACTAATAAAAATTTTTAAAAAATCACTTGGGGAAAGAGATCTCAAAAGACTGGAGGACATTCTTTGCATGAGGGAGTTCCAAGACTGTCTCCCAGCACTGTGCTTCCCCAATCACCTCCAGACGTGACCCCCGAGCACCTATCTGGGAGTGGTCTCTGAGCACTGTAGACTGTGACTTAAAAACCAAAAAAAGTCAGTTGAGCTTTAATTTCATTCTTTATTATTTTCTAGACTCTGCTCTGAGAAACACAAGGGAAGTAAATGACCTGGAGAAAAAGGAGAATAAAGAGACTTAAAGTTAAGAATTCCTTGGGTGGTGTCAATGAAAGTCTAGATCACATTTCTCCAAAGTGTTACAAATACACAGTCACAAGAGTAAGACCGATCCTATGCTGCTTATGGCATTCACAGACTCTCCTCAGGCCTGAGGTGAGCTTCATCATTCCAGATTGACTCTTTCTTGCAAGAAGTCCTCTTCATACCGTCCAGGTGGAAAAAACAGTGTTAGTGGTTTCTAAGTCAGGTTTTTCATGGCATGCTTTAGAACATTTCCAGGTAAGAAACTTGAACATTTCCAGGTAAGAAACTTGACCTGTAATGTTTTGGATAACTGACATAAAAAAAGAAAAAATACAAATCCAAAGAGTGATATGAGATAATCAGAGATTTTAACCATTTCTGTTCATTGATAGTTTATCTGTATTAATTCTATTATATGTGTGACTTAATGTACCAAAGGTTATGCTCTGAAGGACAGCTTTTGCACTTTAACTGGTATTTAGGTTTGCCAGAGCAGTCTTACGGTTCCCAAAAGAGCCAAAGCTAAATATCCTGTATTTAGGATGATTTGAAGTTTACAGATTTTTTTGGATTGAAATTTGGAAACATCTTAGAGTTGGAAGTCGAGTACTCCTATTTGCACAATAGCTGTTCTTGTAACAAAGTTCTACTCTCCATTGTCTATATTTGCTTTTGCCTTTTTAAAAAATTGTAGTCCAGTAATGGTCTTTTATGTCATGATATTTCTTCCTATGGTTCAGTTTTTGCATGTAGTGTTGAGTTCATGATTGTCATATTTTATATTATGGACTACTGAAGACTATGGTTTGAAATTGCTGCCTTTTGACTCATGGGTTATGAATTTTACTCCCAAGTTGACATATTCAATGCATGTTTTTTTTGGTAATTGTTCTTACAGTAATCCAATAGCTATAAAATACTTAAATAATGTGTCTTCTAATTAGATTTGTGTATTACATTAAAGTCGTAGTTCATGCTAGTGGTATCATTTGATGTAAAATTTTGTATGAAGATCATTTGTATTTTAGTCAAAGGTACCTGTGACTTACTATATAAATCTTGCTGGAACTTATGATGGCTGATTTATAACTTGCTCATTGAAGTGTCTTCATATTTGCTATTTCACTTAATGCTTCTGCAATAGTAACAACAACAAAGTGAAAATAAAATACAACTCTTTAGTGTGTTGATCTGTGGTTAGAAGACAGAATTAGAAGTTGAAATCTTGGAATAATGATGCCACTTTGCACAATGTGTTTTCATTTCCTGAATAAGGTAAAAGGTAAAGGCCCTCCCGTTGATCGTCGATTTGCTCGAGCGGGCCCAGTAATGTCTCCATTGGAGACTTTGTTATTACTGTGTTTGGCATATCGAATACGTCACAGGGAGCTTGCCAGGCTCTGCCGTGTGGGCGAGATACTCTCGGTAGCTTGCCGGGCTCTCTGAGAGGGGCGGAGGAAGACTAGAAATTTAAATCATTTATGATAATACTGAATTCTGTAGATCTCAACATACAGTTAGAGTCTTTTACTGTTTTACTCATTGTACAACAGATGCTATATTTGTGTATGTATTTGTATATGTACTGTACTGAATTAATTTTATTGGGCTATAAATGTGTGTTACTATAAAACATAGCAGCAATTTCCCTTTGTCTTCAAAATTTAATTACATTGTAGATGTACTTATAACATAAATGTACTTGCATTAATTTCACATTAAAGATATTCTACCTTAAACTCACTCATTTTGAAAAACATAATAAATATCACTTAAGAGTTGAAGACTCTTTTTTTCTCACTTATTAGCCATTCTCTTAAAGCACGTAAGTATTTTGATTGCCTTCAGAAACTTTTTATGATGTTTTGGAGAAAGAGATAGATAAAGAGAGAGTGACAAAGAGAGGTGAAGAGATAGAGAGATAGAAAGATCTGATAAAAATTATCAAATGTTTTGTTCATAAAGTTTCTTCATCCAAATCTGTAGGGTATCGTTAAGTGAACTCTCAGGGTTTAGACATTGATTTTATGAGGGGACATTTCCACACACCAAAAAAGAGTTACTTGCATATAATCAAGCCCTCAGAATCCTGGAAAACATCTAGAGACCTGCAGTTGTTTTCTGAAGCAGAGCTTGCTTTGGGTTTGCCAGATTTAATAAGTTCTTCCACTGCCCAAAGAAGAGCTTGTGCCTTATTAAGGAAAAGGAAGACATAAACCTATCAATTTTGTTTCACTGCCATTTTATAAAAGCAGAGGTTATTTTAGATAGATTATTGAATATCCCATCACAGGAGCAACTATTTATTTATTTTTATGTAGGAGTACTGCTATTTATTCAGCCACTGATTAGCTGATTGAATTGTGCATGAACTCCACCTTACTTTTTTTCATTTTTTATAATTTTATTTATTGAATCACTGTGAGAGCAGTTACAAAGCTTTCGGGTCTAAGTCTCTGTCGTACAATGAAACACCCGTACCTTCACCAGTGCCCATTCTCCATCACCAAAAACCCCAGTATACCCTCACCCCACACCCTCCCCCTACCTGTGGGGCAGATGATTTCCACATTACTCTCTCTCCACTTTGATCACATTCAATATTTCAACACCAGACCCACCACTATTATTTGAGATTTTACCCCAACACTAAGATCTGCTAAAAAAAGGCAACAGTAGACAATTTGTGTTCTATTGCTGGTTATGAATAACATATGATGTCGCATGGCTGCAGCAGGGCCATGTTATTTTGAGATTCCAAAATTATAACATGTAAATCTGGAGGGATTTCTGCCAAAAGTCACTGGGTTTCGAGATTTGCTCTTGAGTCTCTGGGATCATGGCCGTTGAGCAGCTTGATCAGGAGGCAACTATTTATTTTAATTTTAAATGTATTTTGAGGGCTGTTGAGGTAGTGCAGCAATTAGTCCACACACCAGCCAGGGTGCAATCATCCCTGGTACCACATGGCCACCCAACCATCACTGGATGTGCTCCTGGAGGTCCCAAAGCACGGTTGGAATGGCCTGGAGGTCTGCATTACCACAGAATCTAAGAATCACCACGTCATTTGGCCTTCATGTTGAAATACCATCCACCTTGACTAAGTATCCTAGACCCTTTGAGTACCCTTTGAGTACCACTTGGGAGTGTGTCCCCATAAAAGGTTGATAACAAGTTTGGTGAGAATGTGGACAAAGAAACTCTGGTACAATATTGGTGGAAATGTGAATTGGTGTACCCCCTATGGAAAAATGGTATGACAAGGGAGTCGAACACCTAAGAATAGCTGAGATAACTACCAGGAGGTCTGCTCCAGGGCTTGGAAGCTGGCAATACATGCTGGGGAAAAAGGCAGCTCAGATAGAGAAAGGAACATCAAGTAAAGGATGTTTGGAGGACTTGCTAGGGATGCAAGATGCGTGCTGAAAGTAGATTATAGACTGACCGCAATGGCCACTCAATACCTCTACGGCAAATTACAAGACCCTGAAGGAAAGAGTGAGCAAAAGGGAATGCCCTGCTACAGAGGCGGGGGAGGGGGATGGGGTGTGGGGGTGGGAGGGCTACTAGGATCATTGGTGGTGGAGAATGGGCACTGGTGGAGAGATGGGTACTTGATCATTGTATGACTGAAACCCAAGTACAAAAACTTGTAAGGTCAACAATTTTACCACATGGTGTTTCACTAATAAAAGAAAAGAAAATCCAATTCCATTTGACCACACAATTCCTCTCCTAGGTTTTAAGCAACCAAAGGATCTGAAAACACTAATAAATAATTAAAAAAACATATGAACCTCCATATTCAGAGCAGAGTGGTTAACCAATACACAAATCCTACAATCGTGCTCATCAATTGATGACTGGATAATGAAGCTATGGTTAAATTACTCAATAGAATACTTCTCTGCCATTAGTAAGGATAAAAATCACTGTTTTGGGGATAAAAATGGATTGAATTTGAGGTGATTTATATTTTGTGAACAATGTAAGAAATTGAAAGACAATTTATAGGTTAGATGGTTTCATTCATATGTGTAATATAAACCAAATCAAATAAACAGCAAAACACAATAAAGACAACTTTGATACTCTGAAAAGTTTAGTGGGTACTAGGGAAAGGGGAACATGGTGAAAGTAACAGGTATAAGAATTCTATCTGACAATAGGAGTGACACTAGAAATTTGGTGTTGGGTATGGTAAGCTTTATATTCACATATAAAACTGTAATAAAATATAAATTTGAATAAAATTATAGCATACGCAAGTTGTCAAATTCATAGCATACTCAAGACTCAAGTCTTAAGTTTTCCCTTTTAAGGGCCTACAAAATATTTGTTGGTCACCTCATTATCACGTGTATGAATTAGCACATTTAATTATGAGGAGATAGCTTCAGCACATTTTCACCAAATGTCCCTAACTGTGTGGTGAGATTTTGTGAAGATGTATTCCTAAAGCTAAATGACATTTCCCTTGAATTCAAATCAAGAACAAAATAAAAGAAAAAACCCATGGCAGTAATGAGCTCATTTAAGTATTTGTAACGTAGACTAATGTAACTATTATCAAAGCAAACAATATAACAAATTCAGAAAAGGGGGAGAACCAATTAAAATATAATGGAGCATAGCAAGAATCATAAATATTTGAAACATGAAAAGTAATGTGTTGAAGATTATCATAGTTATAAGTTTCCCCCAATTTAATAGTGAATGCCCTTTTATATGGTGAGCCATGAAAAAAAAACAAGAACACATACAATATTAGTAACAGAATAAACTGTAACTTTTCAAGGCTAACAAAAATGACTTACAAGGAAAATATCATAGTTTGGTGATCTGAAAAGAATCATAATTTTTAGGTATTTGAATCTAACTGGGAGGTATGTCTATACATTTGTCTATATATTTATAGCTAGTTTCAAAACACCTGAGTTAAGTGCATAACTTGCATTTTACATCTGAGTATTTGCAGCTCAAAAATTTTCCTGTATTTATAAAAATACAACGTCTTGGTAAGGAAATAAAACATTAGGTGGACACATTTATAAAACAACAGTAAATCTTGCTGTCTAAATTTAAAATAGTCTTTGGTGACCACTGTGCTAGTAACAAGTGAAAATTAAGTGAATTCAAATTAGTTGAATCCAGCTTAGTAATTCAACTCCTAAATTCCAACGGAGAGTAACATTTACACATGTGCTCAAGGTGTCAT